GTTTTGAGAAGAAATTAAGTTGAAAAAAAAAAACATTTTTTTTTGTTTATGGAAAAATGCTAGCAAAACAATTAACAGATATGAAAAATATATCACTAAACATAACCCTTTCATGCGTTTTTTGTATTAATGGAATTGCATCAAACGTGTAGGTCAAGCATTTTTCCTTAAGTGAAAGTCTTTTGACTAACATTTTTGGACTATCCGTGAACCTAAAAAAAAAAACAATTTTGTTGATGAAAACATTGTCCATACTTGCTGCAAACCCAAACCCGGATTTTTTGTGTCAATACAAAAGTGTAGCACGATTTTCAAAAATACCCGGCTTGAATTTGTTTTTGTAGATGTTTCTCAAAGTCTTACTTGACGAATAATTTTATTGAGTTTTTCTGAAAATCAGCAAAACTATATCTAATCAATATTTCATAAAAATATGATGAGTTTTTAGCAATAAAAGAAATTGATTTTTATCACTATAGATTTGCTGCAAAAATTATAACCGATAATTGATGGTTAATCATAGAGAAGTTTACTTTTAATGTTATCATTATAAAGTATCACAAGTTTTTTTAACATCCAAGTTGGGGGCTTATAATTAAATAGATTTGGAAAAAAGTGCGAGAAGCCATACAAACAAAAACTTTAAAATCTACCAGGGTGGTCAATTTAAAAATTTTTTTCAAATGAACAACCATAGTGAGAATTTTTTCTCATATCAGAGATTATTCAAAAGACATTTGAGGAAATTAAAAGGTCCGATAGGTGAAGCCTCAATTAACCATTACAATTTGTAATTAGTACTAAAAAGTGTCAACTCCATGATACTAGAAGTTGTCCAACCCCCAAAACCTCAAATTTAGAAAAAAAGATCAATCATTTCTTTATTATTTGTATTATATAAACCTCAAAAATTTTGGAAAAAATTTTTAGTTTGTTATTATAAAGATTGCTGACTACATCAGCAAAATCTGCCAAAATAATGAAAAAAACGGAAACGTTTTTTACTCCGTACAATTATTTTTTTTTGGGCTCTTACCAGAGAAAATTATTTGTTGGTTTTATTTTTTAAACTTTCTTATGCTTCAATATCTGAAGGTCCGAGTCCAAAACTCAAACTTTTTTAGGGATTCAAATTTTAACTTTCTTTGTCGAATTGTAACTTAAATTTCGAATAGCTCGCATTTGTGCAATTCTTTTACAAAGAAATACTTGTAGATTTTTAAAAAATCTGTCATAGAGTGATATGTCTTTTGTCTTGAAAACATTCTCTGAACTTGGTTTTGTTTCACTTCATGTTTTTGTAGTGCTGTTTTTTTAGAAGTGTCGTACCCTATAGCCCCTTACCGTAGTATTGGCTAAATGTGATTGAAATAGATTTTTTTTATTTTGCTGTAGTTGGTACGTCACCTAATTGGTAGATCAACCCACAAAAAAAATAGTTTTTTGACAAGAAATTCAATGTGAATTTTGAAAGTTAATTTTGCGTCCATGCCAATGCCCAAATACCCTGTCTAGACTTTTTTAAGATCATCCGTTCCATTTTTATTTTATCTAATCATATTTTTTTCTTTCAAAATGAAAGTAATCTTTATTTTAGGTCAAGGTTAGACAGAGTTAGCTTATTGATTTTCAACCACTTTCCCACTTCCGATAAATCCTTCTTGTTTTGGTGTAAGTTTTGTTTTTTCATTCACTCCTGGATCATGGGCTATAAATACGTGTTCACTGAGTTTGTAATCATTGGTAAACCGTAAATCAAAAAAATTAACAGTAGTAGTCCGAGGACTGATTCTTGTGGGGATCCACAGTGAAATATTTTCAATTTTGAAAATTCTGAGCCTATTTTGACCACTGTGTCAAATATGATCTATTTGTCAGATATGATTTCAACAATGTCTGAAGGAGACCTCGGTTTCCTCAGTTTTCAGCTTTTTGTAGAGTTTTATTATGTGAAACAGTATCAAACGACTTTTTAAGATCGACAAAAATTGCATGAATTACATTTGAGTTCAACTGCCAACCATATCAGGTGTATTCTAAAAAATTTAGGAAAGCATCTACTGCTGACAATTTAGGTTAAAGTTCTGAACCCAAATTGATTTTTAGTCAAAACTCTATGCGTATCTAAAAAATCAATGAGTTTGTCGAGTAGTTTTCAACAAGTATGCTGAAAATTGGTAAAAGAGCAATCGGCCTATTGTTATCTGGATTTTTCGTCACACTTTCATGAATTGTTATTACTAAAATCAATGTTAAGACAGTCTAAAAATAAACATTTCGTTCTAACCATTTGTTTTTAATATGTCAGAGTATTGCAATTGCCATTTCTGTTTTTTATGACCAAAGTTTTTGACCCAAAAAAATTCACAATTGTATTTCTGTTAAAGTTGCAGAAAAATGAGGACATTTCTTTTCATTTGTTTATTACAATAAAAACTATTGAAAAATTGCTTCTGATGGACTTTTGAGGTGGATCAATTTCCTCAGCCAATTGATGTCTTAGACTAGCAAAAAATTCTTTGAAAATTTTCATTTCTTCATGATTAACAGATTAACAGATTTTTTGCTTTTAGCCAATAATTCCTCTAAAGTATTAAAACAGCTCTTGTATTTCTATTTGCGTCCTTCTCAATTTGTTTTGGAAAAATTGTTCTCTTTTTTTAATGGAACAGTTTATAATTGTTGCAATCATGTGATGAAAGAATTGAAAACTTCCATTACAGTCTAAGTTTGTAATTACTTCGTCGTGCTTTTGTAATTCAAGTTGAGTTTTGAAATTCGTTTTTTTGCAAATTTTCCTGTTCTCCTACGTCTTCCAAACTTTGCATGCTTTGGTTCGGAAAAATTCATCAGGGAACTCTTTAATTATGTAGATACTGTTGAATGGTCTCTAATCAAGGTATCCGACACCTTAACAACTATGGCAAAATGAGTACACTTTACACTAGTACACAACCCGGCAAATTGAATAAAATTTGAAATTAGCTGCTTGGCGAATTGATACTGATTGGTTTCGACAATTTAGGTGAAAAGGCTTCTGGCAATCCTCGCATGCGTTTTTATTTTGAGTTTTTAAATGGTCAAATTTGAAGTCTCCACAAAAAACATGTTTATGATTGGGTACTCCACCAACTACACCACTTCTCCTACCTCTTGCTTAATTTTCTTCTTGTTGGTAATTTGGTAGAAGAGCCATTTTTGTTTGTATCCCGATTTAACCAGTTTTCTGTTAGTGCAATAACTATTGGTTCGCAATCTGTTGTACTCAGATAAAACAAATTTCGATGTTTTTTTAGTGGTTCAATGTTTTGTAAAACAGAAATGTTTTCAGCCTTTTTATTAAGAAAACATGCTTGTGACCACATGCGATGTTTTCCTTAAGCTATTATGTTCTTGAATTTTTGAAAATCATGTCACTTAAGGCTTATTAATTCTAATTTTTTTTTACTTTTAGCTTTTCAATTTTCAGTTATAATAATTTTTTTTTATATTGGCTTCACTTGGACAATGATTTGTTTCAATCAAAAATAGAGTGAATGAGAACAGGGGCTATGGACTCGTTTTTTTTCTTTTTTATTAATCTCTTTTAATTTTTTTTCTTTTTTTTTTGTCAAAGTCAGACATCAGAGAAGATAATTGCTCCTTATAAACTGGGTTGTAATTGTTTTCAGTTTTTTTGTCCCTTCAACGTATCAAGATAATTTTTTTAGTAATGAGAACGTTTGTACCATTTGAGCCGCCACGCTTCTATCGCAAAGTACTTAAAAACATTCAAAACATTTACATGCATTTTGACCTTTATTTTTTTTTCGACAAAGAAAAAAATACTGTTTTTTTAAACGTTTTTTTTCACAAAAAATGTCAGAAACGAAGTATACGAAAATAAGAGATTTCGCAATTATCGCAAAATTTCCACCTTTTTTTTCTAGAAATTTAGATTTTTGATTTTTTTTCAGAGCCTCTCCGTCCGTGGATATCACAGGGTCTCTGTTTACAATTTTTTCGCATACTTTTCGATACTACAACACAAACAGTTAGTTAAGTTGAGCCTCCCCACGACTATCGCAAGGCACATAAATTTTTTGCTTTTCATACGAAAAATAAACAATGTTGTTAATTAACTGCTGAGGCTACTCGTGAATATCGCAAGACTACGCATAGTGTGGAGGTTTTTTCATTTTTGATTTAGTGCTAACTCTGCGGATATCGCTAGGTTGTCATCTAAGTTTTTTGTTTTCGAAGCTGGAGAGAAATATCACCCTCAGCGCTAAAAATATTCGACAAAAAATACTTATATATTTTGAAAAGGCTCTGAGAAAAAAATACTGCGGAGACTAAATTGGTGGTTTTGTCGTTTTTAGCGTATAATTAGCGTTTTGTTCTGGCTTATTTTATAAGCATAAGTAACCTTCCTAATTTAAGTAAATGTTTTTTGAGTAATCTCTGCTTAAAATACTGAAACTGGCATTCTAATTATCGATTGAATTGAATAAACTGGCTAAATGAAAAAACTACTGTATTAGAGAGAAAGAGAATCAAAACTTTAGTTATTCATTTTAATTAAAATACGATGTTAAATATCCTAAATCGGCAAAAAAATCATTTCATGTTTTCAATGCTGAAAACTTTGGACCTGGATTATGATTGAGACTCCAGATATAGGAAGAGAAAAGAGGCACCATTATTTGAGAGGGCCTTTTAATGAGGGTAGGGCGGCGTAAATCAAAAATTTTTGTAAATCAAAAATATAATTTTTTTTATTGAAATTTTAAAATTTTCTGACTGCTTCAAAACTGAAAAATCATTACAAAAATTTTTTGTAAATTTTTGTAAATCAAAAATATAATTTTTTTCATTGAAACTTCAAAATTTTCTGACTGCTTCAAAACTGAAAAATCATTACCAAAATTTTTGTTCTATTTTAGCAGTTGAACTAGTGTTCTATTTTAGCAGTTTAACTTGTGATTTATGATTGCAGATCTATGATCTATAATACTAACCAGTGCAATCTCGCACCATCTGGTACCGTCGAGGAGAACTAGTCCTGACCCAAACACGGTCATCAGGCCATACACAATGAGTAGGATCCACACTGACGATATGGCCACCCACAGTCTCCTTCTGGTGATCAGCGTCACCAATCTGAACAACGTAAGACAGTTGATGTCGTTAAGTAGTACTAAAGGGCGATCAGGGTGTCAATAAGGAATGAGAAAGAACCCCCCCCCGAACAAAAAAAAATTTAATTTAATTACACGTTGAATGAATAGTTAGATAAATGAGAAATAAACAAAATGAGATTAATGATGCAGAAGATTCATGCAAAAAAGTGATGATGCTCTCTCCCGATTAATATCTAAACAGAATGGAACCCCCAACACTTAGGTTAATTTTTGATTTTATTACTAATTAAGTGCATAAGCTCAAGGGTCCGACAAACTTAAAATTTTCTAAAGGCGTCTTTGGTGATAATATTTTCTAACTTTCCAAAAAGTGCCCAAAACGGCGCCTTTAGAATCTGTTTTCTTTTTTTAAAAAAAAAAAAAATCTGCCCCCCTCGAGAAATCCTAGATTCGCCCCTGCATAATCTGATGTTATTTTTTGTTACTATTTCCGAAGTTTTTGACCGCATAGTTGAGCTAGCTGTGGTTTTTCTCTCAAAATTTTTTACACTCTAAATTTCAGTTTTGGCAGTTATATATCATGTTTTTATGCGATGTTCTTTTTGAGCTGTTTCTATTTTTTTTGCTGTCTTTATATACAGGACAGTCGCATTATGGAACCAGTCGGATTATTCGGGGCCCTTAGATCATTGACTGACTTAGAAACAGTCGCTTTAACTGAAAACTGAAGTTCTGTGCCTTGGTGGATGTGTTGTAAGAGAAACGGCATCAGATTTCTAACTAATCACTTAGCAGTCGTGCAATTGCCTCCGGCCGTTAATGAATAACGGAATTGATCGACGCCGCATCGGAAGGAACAGAATCTGTTCTGCTAGAAGGGGAACCTAAGGTCAGAAGGCGTTCGCTGGAATTTTTTACCCTGGGAGTAGCGATAATTTAAAAAAAAAACGGCTCTTTTCCTCTGCTTTCCTTTTCACCTTTCAAAATTTCTTATTTTTATGCTAATATGACTGAATGCGTAATGTTACAATGAAAAGTAAAAAGAACAAATCTGTTCACAATTGTTACTTTGCTCATTTATGCCAAGTTTCAATGCATTGTGACTCAGTTCAAGTATTTTTTTAAAACTGAAATTCAAAGTGGGAGTGGAAAAAGTGGAAATGGAAACTTTTTTTAGGTCTGCTATTTCGACTTTTTGAGCTCTGCCAAAATCCTGGAATGACCATAATTGGCTGTGCTGCGGGCAACATTTTAGAAGGAAATGTTTTTAAAATGATTTTTTCCCACTGTTGTTTACAATTTCGTTTCGGATCGTTCGGCAATTTAAAGCAATTTCTGCTAACAAGTAATGCAAGAATTTTGCAAATTGTTGCAAAAACGTTCTTTAAGGACGACCCTGAAACCTTTAACTAAAGCCTAAAAACGTCTCTGAATCCTCTAAACCTTCTCAAGTTTAGAAAAAACTAATGTTTTTTTTACTAATGTTATTTCAACTGAGATTTTCAAGTCATTATCAAAAATTTTCAGTCGTGATTCGAACGGCAATAAAAAGCATTTAATTGCTTGTTGTTTTTTGATTTTTTCTCTATTTTTAACATTATAAAAATATGGTCGTGACGTTCACATCAACTGTCTAGTCTGGTTTTTTATGCATTTGTTGTTCTCGGCGAATTTTTTTTGAGCATATTTTATTTATTAACATCCCATTCCAAATACCCATCAAAATGTTGTTTATGAAGTGCTCTGTCGTAAACATTCAGCTATATGGCGGTAATCACGACCAACACACCTGTGTTTCTTGTTTGGAGAAGTCACTGTACAATGGTTTATTATGAAAAGAGGAGACATTGTTGTCAGGAATCTATTGTTTGAAGAAAGATTGACCTGTTTTATAATTCGAATAGAAAAACAGCTCCAATTAGGAAACTATTCAGGCTTAACAAAACATTGTGCTCGGTTTTTGTCGTCTTCTCATACCCGCAAGTCACAGCAATTAGAGTGGAATCAATTTATTCTTTAGAAAAAAAAAGATCAAAAGTTTTCGCTTATTAATTTGATGATACTAGTACGTAATTATACGAAATAACGAACCAAACAATTCAATTGAATCGAAGAGGCAACGTTCTTGACATTTTTACCGACATTTCAACTATTTGACAGCCCCTCCCAACCACCCCCTAGGCCGGTACTATAAGAAGGAGGAAATCAGGAAGATTAAAAAATCAAATGGAAGTTGAACTTTAAGACCACAGTAATTAATGGAAGGCAAGTAAAAAACTAGCGAAAGCTTTCAAAAAATACGAAAACTCAACTTTTTAAATTTCTTTATTAAAATTTTTCTTGTAGGCGGTGGATGAGGGCGCAATTAGATGTCGTATCGGCTAAAATGAGTAGCTATTGCTAAAATCAAAGTGAAATTCACAGAATTAGATAACCTGTCCACACTTTAGCTCATTCATTTGTGTAAATCATTTGTGTAAAACGAAAGAATACATACATTTAAAAAAAAAATGGGTCCAAATCTTTTGATTTTTTTGATTGAGTCCGAATCACGACCAGTAGAGCTTTGGCATGATCCTACAATTTTTTCACAAACTTTTAGTAAGGTATCTAAAAAACCCATCTTACAACACAATTGTTCCTTCCAATCACTACATGCTAGTTGGAGCAAAAAAGCACTCAAATTTTATTGTTCCGATTTTTGAAAACAAAAGGTTATTGTTCCGACTTTCGATACGAAAGTAACGGAATATTTGTGCTCGGGGTGGGTTTTTTTTTCTTCAGACAAATTTCGACTTTTTAACTAGCCATTTTTGACGGCACTTCTTTACATCATTCGAAAGGTATTGTTGTCTTGAGCTCAAATTTGAAAAAATATTTCACCTGTGATCCTTTTTCGTAAAGTTACGGGGGTTTAAAGATTGCCATTTTGGCCAATTTGGACAATTAACGCGCGATATATTTCGCGCTATTAACGCATAAGCGGAGATTTAATCCGTCTTATAAATCGTTCCAAATTGGTTAAAAGAAGAATAGTTGCCATAATTGGTGTGTTACAAGGAGCGAAATCTATCCTTTTGTACTTTGTATGGCGTGTGGGGGGAGGATTTTCATTAAAAAAATTTCAAATTTTAGAAATTATTTTTTTGATTTTGTTTTATTTCATTGAATTTTTATTATTGAATTCTTAATAAATCTTAAAAGGCAGTCGGAATATTCAGTGCTTCGCCCTGATACGAGCAGTCTGTTATAACTGGTTCTTGGTGTGGTATTTTTTTGTCAGACATTTTTCGACTTTTATACTAGCCATTTTGAACAAAAATTATTGGCGCACTGAGCAAAAAATTTGCAAACTTGGCCAACTTAGGAGAGCTAACGCTCAATAAACTTCGTGACAATACTATTTTGTATTCAGCCATTTGATCCCGATCAGAATATTATCCAAATTGATTTGTGGAAAGCAGTTTAAAATTATTGTTCCGACTTTCGATACGAAAGTAACGGAAAATTTGTGCTCGGGGTGGGTTTTTTTTTCTTCAGACAAATATCGACTTTTTAACTAGCCATTTTTGACGGAATTTTTTATATCATTCAAAAGGTATTGTTGTCCTGAGCTTAAACTTGAAACGTTATTTCACCTGTGATCATTTTTTGTAAAGTTATGAGGGTTTAAAGATTACCATTTTGGCTAATTTGGGACAATTAACGCGCGATATATTTCGCGCTATTAACGCGTAAGCGGAGATTTAATCCGTCTTAGAAATCGTTCCAAATTGTTTGAAAGAAGCTTATTTGCCTTAATTGATATGTTACAAGGAGCTAAATCTATTCTTTTGTAGTTTATATGGCGTGTGGGGGGATAATATTCATAAATATTTCTTTTTTTTACATTTAATTTGTTAATATCTATTTTATTACTGCTTTATAAACCTTAAAAGGCAGTCGGAACATTCAGGGCTTCGCCCTGATACGAGCAGTCTTGTTAAATTTTTGGTAGTGGCTAAAAACTTCGTTTATTTTTCGCATAGCGTGCAGGGTGAGCATATTCAAAAAAAATTAAAGACGATTTTAACAAAAGTTTTAACAATGATTATGGTTGCAAGTCTGTGCTCACCTACGAACAGTATTGTGATTTTGAAAATCATTCCTTTTCCGATAAAATTAAGGCGATTTGTCCAGTCCTAACTGCCTAACACTCTCACCTAGATTTTACCAGATTTCGAAGTTTCGAAGCATTCTTAAAGCCTTTCTGTTTTTTTTTGTGATAAAGTTTAAATTAAAAAAAATGAAATTGCCTTATGATTTATTGGAAAAGGTTTTGATTCACTCCGTTTGATTCCGTCGGGGTTTCGGGTGCATAGCGATATGCAATTGGGCCGACTTGTATGCGCATTTAGAATACTTCTTTGTGTTATATTTTTTTACCGCCTTTGATTTGAATAACGGCATTGGCAAGTTTCAAACTCAGCAGAACTTGTAGCGAACAAGATTGGTGCAAAGGTCGATAGATCAGTCAACCAAAATTGAAATTAGTTTCATAAATTAAGTGCTTCAACTCTCAATGAGGCTGCCAGTGTTCGATCCCAACCAATACAAGTTTGCATGGCTCCTTTTCATGATGAACGCGGCAATCACTGTTTGGAGAAAGTGAGTTTCGAAGACAGTGAGGACTAATTCTGCTCCGGGTGGTTTTTTATTCAGACCATTTTACGAAACTCTGGTCCCCTCAGGGGTTCAATATCTTGATCTGCATGGTTCCAGCCAGACTTGCAAACCACTCTAGTACCCTGTCACCAGTCTGTTCAAACGACTCGTTTTAAAATTTACACTTGTGGCAGATTATCCCGCACTACATAATTGTTCCACATTGAATTGAAACAGCTAATTGGTTTTATTAGTTCCACACACGACTCAAATTGGAACAATCAATTTTCAATATCATCAGCTCCAAATTCGTAAATTGCCAATAGATAATTTATCAAACGCAAATCGAGACCAATTAAATGGCAGTCGGAACAT